CCATCCATTCATCCATTCATCCATCCATCCATCCGTCCTTCCATCCATACATCCATCCTACGTCCATCTGTCTGTGCAATTGCCATCCATATGACCTTTAATTTCAATCTGTCCATTCATCCGCTTTTTCATTCATCCAGCTAGCTATCTATCCTAACCCTCCCTTCTTTACTCCACTGTTTCTCTGCCCCTTCATACATCAACCCAAAAAGTAAAGAGTACAACTGTAAGCCTACCTTTTTTATTAGAAACTTCTTTAAGGAGAGGCATGACTTCTTCAACCATCTCTTTCTCACTCTCAAAGGGCTTGATTCCTGGCATAGCACGTCCTAAATGTTGATAGCACCAGGCTGCCACACCCAAGGCCATACCAGTTGCCCCAGCAACAGGGCTAAACACAGCAACAGATCTACATCCTATAAATATTCAGAATAGGTAGGTTTGGCTGTCAACTAAACATCAATTTATCCATCCATCCATCAAGCCATCTATCCATCAACCCACCCACCCACCCACTGACCTACATGCCTACCCACCTAAATTAAATGTTCTATATACACAATGCTCAACTTACATATTTATTTTTATGGAGGGAGGAAATCAAAGAATTAGGAGAAATCTCTCGCAGCATAGGAGAAAACAACACATCAAACAAACTCAATTTACATATGGTGTCAGCAGGGCTCAAACTAGTGACCCAAACCTTTGGAACAGCACAGTGGTGAAAGACGATGCATTAGTAGCATAAGCCACCCATGCTACCTATAAATATATAATATCTTTACCTTTTTCATCTGTCATGAACTCTATGTCCAATATACATCCACCTCCCTTGTGAAATCTCTGCAAAAGCTGTTCAGCACCTATCTGATGCTGCAATCATATCATAAATAAATTGCATCACATGGGAAACACTTATGACTGGCACATGATTCTGAGTGTGATGCAGTAGATGTAGTACTGGTAACTGGCAGGAAAATGTGTAGCATAGAGGCTTTGCACCATCACGTGATGGCAGCCATCGACATGACAGGAGTCATATATAACACTAGTCTTTTTCCCCTGGGAAACTGAATTTTCTCTCATGTAAACCAGATTAGACCAGATTACATTGTTCCTGCCTCCTGTCAAAGCTGCCATCACATGATGGTACAAAGCCTCTATTGTTGTGCATATGACTTTGCTAGCATCAAGTCTTTCAAACCAAGATTGAATGATAGCATTTTTTTTAATGTTATGCTCTGGGAGTGTAAAGGACAGGCTAACTCAGAGACTTTGACATGACTATCTGAGTAAGGCCAATATTTGACATTATTAAATGCCCCAGGGTTTGAAATTTGACATGAGAACCTGGTAATAAGTCATATATGCATGATGCTTACCTTATATGCATGAGCAAAGAAAACATGTTGGTGTACTATTGGTGTGTGTGCTAGCGGCAAGTCCTTCAGGCCAAGAATAATGGCATCTTTTGGAGCATTCTGCCATGACCCAAGTGGTACAATATCTACCCCTGGAATGCTGCAACACATCAGGATACAACCAAAGGTTTGTTTGACACACTATGGAATAATTCAAGTCACTTGTATTTCCCAGTATGCACATGAGCCTTCACTAGGTACACGTGACAAGTGGGATATACATTATATTCTTGTGTTCAATTTAGATATCTCACTCGCTGGGCTCACTCGTGAGATATCAATTGAACACTCGAAGATAAAATTCATATCTCCGTGCGCCCATGTAATATCCTCTTCATATTTCATACCTTCAAGAATTAACCTAGGCTGCAATGCATGGTGGGAAGGAATGGTAGAATGCCCAGGAATATAGAAAAGCTTTCACACATTCTGTGTTAATGATTTACCAGTGATTATGCTCGTATCACATAACCGTAATCGGATAGTTTGATTTGGG